TTCTCTTAAGGGTCAATTATACCAACCCTCCCCCCCCCCGACCCATGAAAAGACATGCAAAAATAACCAAACCTCACCCACGCAAACCTTGCTACCCCTAAATACCATTTTTCTCTGTAGTTCCTTTCAAAATGGCAATAGAAGCTGATGCAACTTCATTTTCAGAGGGAACTGCAGAGGGAGATAGTTATTGGCTAGTGGACAGCGGGATGCAGTCAGAGGGCAAAGTGGCAGTGTTTGTGTTCCTGGGTCACCTTCATCTCTTGTTATCTAAAGGAATCCACTTCTTGTCTGGGTAATCTGGAAATGAGCCATAGTTTGAAATTCTGAAGGTTTGGGGGCAGCAGTGGGGTTTGTGTGTATCCCTGCTTATAGAAATACACTTCCTTAACCTGTACATTTGTTGTTTGCTCTGCAGAGCGTATGCTGAGACTGATAGACCACAAGGCAAAGACAGAACAAGACTACAGGGGGCACGATGATACTGTTTGCCTCTGCCAGTTTACCCCATCTGGAAAACGCCTCTTCACCACTTCTTACAACGAGATCCTGGTGTGGGAAGTCCAGAGCAGATGAATGGAAAGAGCAAACTTCAACCTGGCTGTTCGGCAGAATGATGCAACACAAAGGTGATCTTACAGTACTGATAACTTTGCATCCTATGCCCTTGCTGTTTCCCAGGATCAACAACTTGGGTTGCAGAGGTACCCATCTTAGAACAGTTAGCAGAACCCCAGAAAAGCTGTTTTGAAGTGGGAGTAATCTTTGGCATGACAGTTAGAAACAGCTGAAGTTCAGAGCAGACTCTTCCTCTTTTTTCAGCCTAGGTTTCCCAGATCATTTAGCTGTGAGTTGACACACATTTTCTTGTCCTGTGGGTGATTAAAGGCTCCATCATTCTGTGTGCTTCCTGACTCCCTGGGTTGTCTCATCTTTCAGTTCAACTTCAACACCATCACTAACTTGATGGACGTTCCTGAAATCTGAGAATCACAAACTCCTTGTAGGGGCAGGCATTGATACCCGGTTTCAGAGGCAGGGAGTAGCTCAGACTCTTGATCCCTGATGCTGCCACTGGAACACAGGTAGAGCATATAGGATTCCTTTGCCACAGTTGAGGTGGGCAGGGAATGTTGTCAGCCTCCGTTTCTAAATGGGCAGCAGACCAAGTTGTTACCATGCCCCTTTGGCATACCTCTGTCCTATCTGAATTGTAAGATGAGCGGTTTGCCTGCAGAAATATCCCAGTCCCCTGAAGAAGGGCACCATTCAGGCTGGTAAGTTATATTCTCTTCTAGAATATCACTTGCAAACTGATGACAAGAACAAGCTGTTACTCTTGTTCTCTTTTTACTATATTCATTAAAATGTACATATGTGCATATGATTAACATATATTTTTTTAAATCTTTCCTAAGTGGAATAATAATTTAAGGAATATCACAAGCTTCCTGTGTTTTATATTCAGAATTTGCAGAGGTTTATTTTTACAATGCGCAAGTGACTCTGCACTAGTTTTCTTTTGAGACAAAACTGATAAAAGGAAAACCAGTCATAAAGTAGAAGTAAATAAGAACATCAATACACTTATCCTGCTAAATTCTTGTTTGTAATTTGTAAGATAGAAGGAACAGAATTTTTGTTTTTAATTCTAAATAAACAAATGTTTGATATATTTAAGCTTCTTGGTAAATTCATGTGCTCTAGATTAGGTTTGGAAATATGCTGCCTTCTCATGTCCCAGCAGCCCTAACCAGCATTGCTGCTTTAGGAAATCAGTTTTTATCCAGGATGCTGACACTTCTGCTAAACCAAGCCATCACCAGTGGCTCTTCTAAAGCCAGAAGTGTGTGTGAGAGAAAAAGCTGACACATTTACCTGTATGTATATAATATTTTCTTTCTGGAAGCAGCAGACTGCTTTTTCTGTCTTCAGAAGTATGGACTTACAGGCAGGATATAAACAGTTCAGTTTTTTTCCATTTTCTTTATCCAGTAATGCTATAATGTCTTATCCCAGTTTAGATTTCCGATTTCCAGATGGGCTTTTACTCCTTTCAGCTAGTAATTGTGCAGTGAATAGTGAGGTACAGAATGTCATCTACCATCTCTTCCTTTGGCAGGGAAGGACATTTTCCCTTTACAAAACTTTAACTCATAAGCAAACAAAGGATCATTATATAAGAAGGGGGAAATCACTTTATTTTGTACAAAGAGTATTCCCACCCCAATCATGACTGCCAAGTTTCTTCAAGTCTTTTTATTTCTAAAGATGACAAAATAGATTATTTCAATATGCACACTTCAAATGTGGCACACTAAGTTCTGCTGGGTTTTGGCAATCAGTACAAAAAGAGATAAAGTGCACCAAAAGAGTTAGATATTCTAGCTCAGACTTTTAAATAAGTTACCAGAGAAAACCCTCTTGCCCAAACTGAATGTAGAACTTGCAAAATATATTACTCAAACCCCTTTTTCATGAGACCAGAAAGTAGATCTATGATTAAAACCCAACAAGTAATGCTATCATAGTTTCCTCTAATATTCAAGAACTTGTAATTATGAAGCCCTTTTTCAGCATTATACTTTAGCTCTGAGCTCTTTGGAGGAAAGAAACACAAAACACAAGAGCCCCATGCCCTTATTTTGTCCTCAGAACAATCCAGTGAGGGGGGACATAATAGTGCCCATAAGTTTTTAAAAATTAAAAAAGGTTTCTGTGTGTTAGCCAGGGTAAGTCCTAGATTGCTCATTCCTGCTTTATTTTGTAATTGTTACTGCATAAAACAGTTTGCTTCGAAACTGCCCATGTCCATTAAGACCCTGAGTTATACTGGTAATTAACTAAGTATGATAGACTACAACTTGCATAAGGTTGGGATGGTGGGAATTACATTATACCACCTCTGGGCAACAGCCAATTGGGAAGACTTTCCTAAAAACCCTTATGCTTGGGAACAATGGTGATAGCTGTCCCACTTGGCCCCAGCGTTCAGCATGCAAGACTGCCCCTGCCTTTGAACCTGGCCAACTCTCTTTAGCAATCACCCATTGAATACTGCAAGTGTAACTTGGATGTACAACTGCACATTTCTGGACAGTGCATAACTATTTGTTTGCACCATCACTTACTTTACTGGGATTGAGGAGATAGTGCCCATTCCTCACTGCACAATGGAGAAATAAGCAGGCACATTGGCAGATATACAATATACACGTGTATGTTGGGAGATTTGGGAAAATATGGTTAAAAGTTAGCCCAATGATCAAATGACAGTAGTTACCTGGTAGATGAATGCCAGCATGATGTAGTGGTTTCAGCGTTGGGCTATGACTCTGGAGATCAGGGTTTGATTCTTCACTTGGCCATGGAAACCCAGAGTGATGTTGGGTGAATCACACACTTTCAGCCCCAGAACACCCCATGGCAGGTTGCCATCAGTCAAAAAAAGAAATGACTTGAAGGCACATACAACCACCTGGTAGACACCAACAGCTCAAAAGCCCAAGAAGTCTGTGGCTCACAGACCAATTAAGAGCCAAATTAACCCTGAAAGCTCTTACATCCCCAATAAGCCCACCTAGAAAAAGGAAGCTTGATAGGCCGACTGTGACTTAAATCTAAAATCACTGTGACTTAAACCCATTAACAAGATTCTGGCCTTAAGGTGTACTTACAGAGCTGTAAATCATCAATACTAGTCTCTGCAGTGGAGCTCTTCATTAAGGAAGAAGGATCCTTTGCAAGATTTTGCTACAAACAAAGTACCACCGTGATAGGGAGTGCCACATTTGTCCTGTGATCAAGGGGACTCAGCCCTTTCTGTCTGGTTTGGGTCCCAGGCTTCCTCCACCTGGTCTTCTTTCTCCCAAGCTGCCGATGGACAACTATGGGTCTCCCCGTTCATTTCCTCCAGTGGGTGATAGGTGTATTTTCCATGCTCTCCTCGTGCTGTGGAGCGGCAGAAGAGGAGCTTCATGTTCATTGCACCACTGAGCAAAAGGAGAATGAGCAAACTGAACGTTACACCCGTCCATGCCTTCCTGTAAAAATAATCAAAAACAATAGCAAGCAACTGTGATATCAAAAACAAAACAAAACAGTATTAACCACTAAATTCCAGTAAAAATATTGGGTGTCTTTGCTTCTACAGGTCTATTTTAAAGATGTTAAGACACGTTTTAGCTATTGTGATCCTCTGGCAAAACATGTGTGAGAAAGGAGGGATATAAATTGGGGTGGAGTGAATAACATCAACAATAAACAATGAAACACTAAAAAGATTGTAGAGTGGCTACGGCACCTTTAAACTCATCTAACAGAGTGGAAAATTACAGGGAAGCGCTAACTTTATGCTTTCAACATGTTGCTATAATTTAGGTCTATTATAGAAGACAGGAACACAATTAGAAATTTTGCAACAGCAAAAACGAGAGCCAGCATGGTGTAGCGGCTTGAGTTGGACAAAGACCAGTCTGGGAGATCAGGGCTCAAATACCAGCTCAAACACCTAGAAATTTGCTGAGTGACCTTAGGCATGTCACACACACAGCCTCAAAGGAAGGCTGCAGCAAACCTCCTCTGACTGAAGCCTGCCAAGAAAGCCTTGTGATAAGTTTGCTTGCCTTAAGGTGAAAATAACTTGTAGAAAAATCAACAACAACAAAATCCTCAATGGAACTTACTGTGTGAAAAGGTGGTCCTCCTGATTGGTTTTCAACAAGCACTGCCCTGCTGGAAACCAGAAAGATAGGCAAATATGTAATTAGAAGGAGACCAGATGCTTCTCTGCTAACAAAGACAGGACAGATTCCCAACAAACATAAAGAGGGGTATTAAACTTTCATGACTTAATTCAGAGCAAGAGCATCCATTTTCTCCTCTTGTTCCTCATAGGCGATGAGGTGGGGTAAGAGAAAGAAGGTGGTTGTTCAAGCACAGAAAACAATTTTGCACTATATCTTTGCTTTTCCTGACATATTTCAATAATGTCTACAAGAGCCAGTGTGGCGTAGTGGTTTGAGTGTAAGACTTGGACTCTGAAGATTGAGGTTCGATTCCCCACTCAGCCATTGAAACAGAGTGGGTAACCTTGGGCGAGTCATACACTATCAGCCCTAGAAAACCTTGTGGTAGAGTCACCTTAGGTTGGAAGTGACAATTTCCACCCAATTAATGGATGTTTTCAATGAAAGCTTCAGAACTAGGGGCCCAACTTTAGCATTCATTAGAAAGTTACACTAAAGCACAACAGCTCTCTTAAGCTTAAGAAGAGGTGGCAGCAGGAATCTACAAAGTCCCCTTAAAAAAATGACTGATTTCTCTAATTTAGCACTGCTATTCTGATTGGCCGAAAGCCCATTCTCTGACTCTGCATATAAAGCACATGTTCTACCCCCAAACTTGGGCCCAAAACATATAACTTCCATCTAACTCACCCATTGCAGAAGATGCTGAAGAAATGTTGCAACTGCCTGTCTTCTGATCACAAGGACACTGGTTTGGACACTGACAGGTATGTTGGCAGTTTGGTCCATACTGTCCAATGGGGCATACTGAAAAAGTGAAGGCAAGATACCGGGGGCATGTCAATAGGCAAGTCATAGAGCTGGAGGTGACACTTTGTGCCAGGCTACAGCAAAGCCAGGCTCAAAAACGCTTGAACAGCTGAGCCTGGCATCCAGAGTGGTTTCCAATCCTGCACCCTTATGGACCGTACTGTTCCCTTTTGAGATCACTCAATAGCATTAAAAACCTCTGCAGGGTTTCCCAAGCCTCTAGAGCAGGTTTTTATGGTACAAGTAGGGAAGCAACTCCGGAAGGCTCCTGGCCTGTAGTTCTTTTAGAAATTTGTTTCATACTGTGACATCAATCTATGTGTGAAAAGACTGAGCTTTTCAACTTTGGACTTCAATAAGCCACTTGTGTGGCCACAAGGATGGCAGAGTGGAGAAATCATGCTACTTGTAGGACAGCTTGGGGGAAATGTAATAAACATACAAATGTCATTGCAATTATTATCCTTAGCACTTATCACTGTCCATAGTAGTTTATGTTGGCAGGTAATACTTAGGTAGGAGGTATCAGGGCACATACTTCACCATGGCTAGGTTTAAGTATGCTCTTTTGGATATTGGGGGGGGGGGGAATCTACCTTCTTCACAGAGGGTTCCTCGGTAGCCATCTGGGCAGGTGCAAGATCCACGGACAGGGTCACACTGGCCTCCGTTGAGGCAGAGGCATTTTTGGAGGCAGCCATCACCATAGGAACCCTTTGCACACACTAGGATACAGGGAGAAAAGCCCAAGTTCATACACAGAATTGCATGAAGACTTTTAGCAAGGAGCTCACTAAGATGCAATCCCACCCCAACAGCTGGAACCCCATTGGTCTGCTATGTTTGCTGTTGCTTTTGGGTGACCTTGGGCAAGCCACGCTCTCTCAGCCTCAGGAAAAAAATCTTGCCATGAAAATGATATGATAGATTCACCTTAGTGTCACCATAAATCAGAAACAGCAAGGCAAAACAACAGAGAAGGACATGCAAAGCCCTGCATGAGTTGGAATCCAAGGACTTGTTAAAACCAAGAGGAGACCATTTGTATAGTTACTCCCAACTATACCATCTGCCAAGAGGCAATGATCGAACTTGAAAAAGGTCCCCCTTCCCACCCTGGTAAAACTTGTTTTCTATTTTGTACTTTATTGCTGCACAAGCTGCCCTGAACACCATTTGCTGGTGAGAAAGGGATTTGAGGAATACTGAAATATTTATCACTGAAAACATAAAAAGTAGAATTCAGGGACAGCCATTTTAGTCTGGAGTATCTTTATGCAAAGGAATCTTTTGCATAAAAAAGTAGGTTAAACTTTTCAAGCAAACCAATACAACTAGCCAACAATTTAACCAATTGCAGCATTTTACAATGACCCTAAAGTTTTCTTTTGCTGAAGGGCAAAATGTTATGTATTTCAATGTGTGTGTGTATATACTTATGCCCTGTATAATCTTGTACACACATAACAAGGTAATACATAAAACCCACTGATTTCAATGGGCTTACTTCTGGGTAACTACGTATGGGACTGCACTGTTAGGAACTGATAGCCTGTTGTTCAACAGTTTATAAAGGCCATACAAACTTATGTAATAAATTAAAGCAAACAAAAGAAACCACAGCGGTTCAGCTATTCTTTCCAGCATCCAGATACGTTATCAAGATCTCAGTCCCCTCAGATTTCCTTATAAAGATAGGATGTAGCTTAGAGAGATATGTTTGGTGTGTTTATGGCATTTTAATACTGGATGATGGGATGTGCTGTCATGGGATAATGATGGTGTTGGCGCATACATTCATTAGACTGTTTAAGGAAGAGATGTGAGGGGAGTAGATTGTGTTTACAGCTTCAAGACCAGACCCATGAAAACAGCTGGCATGGGGTTGGAAGGCGATGCAACTCTGGGAATGAGGTAATGCAAAACTGTTTATTTCTGTTGGCAAATGGGGTGTCAGCCAACTTAAAATTTGAATTGCTATGTGCTTTAAATATATTGTGTAATTGCTCAAGCCTCAGTCCTGACAACACAAGTCTTTGTGTTTCTGAACAAAGTTGTCTTTGCTTCTGAAGCTTGGATCTCTGAACCGAAGTAACAACATATGTAAAATAAAGGATCTGGTTACCTTCACTACAATTAGTGCCTTCCCAGCCAGCGTCGCAAAGGCATCCCGCTGCAAGGAGAAGAAAAAAAGAGAAATCAATGGCTGTAATGAGACCAGAGGCCAAGCAATGCATTTTGTCAAGCCCTGTGCACTACAGCCTACTCTCTCTGGCCAGCACCCACCATACTGCCTTCAAACAGCATTTTCTTACTCTCTGTGCACATTCCATGCAGGCTGCAGTTGGAAGGCCCACAGTCCAGAACATTGCAGGCTGGCCCTTTCCAGAAAGCTCCGTTGCACTGGCACTGTCCAAGCACACAGCGTCCGTGCCCGCTGCAGTCCGGATGCTGACAAGGCGGCTCATGGACACACATGATGGTTGAGATCTGTCGAGGGCAGCGCCACATGGCATCAAACTGACTGGGAAGAGGGGAAGGAACAGAGAGAAAGTGGATGTTTTCAAAGAGAACTGCTTTGTCAAGCTGTGTCAGCCTGTTGTAGCATGAAAAGTAAAAAGGGAGAGGGAGAAAAAAGAAAACTAGCAGCACCTTTAAGATAAGTGGTTTATATTTGGCAAGAGCTTTTGTAGATATCAATCTGCTTCTTCGCAGGATTCCATACAGAGTGATGTTAAATCCTCAGACTAATAAGCATATCCATACAATTGTGGGAATAGGATAAATGCAATAGGACCCAGAAACATGTAGCATGTGCAAAAGTGTCCTTACCCTAAAACCCCTGTGACTACATGGCCAGATCCAAAGCCCATGGCCACTCTTCCAAGAGACCATTCTTAAAAAAAAAAAGGGCCATCTTTGACCAGCTTTTCTCCCTTGGCTGCTACTGTCTTTGTTGGAATCCTTTTTGCCTCAAGGGCTGCATCTACACAGCAGAATTAATGCACTTTGACACTGTTTTAATTGTCACGGCTTTGTCTGATGGAATACTGGAATCTGTAGTTTGTTGTGGTGTCAGAGCGCTCTGACAGAAGAGGCTAGATATCTCACAAAACTATAAATCCCAGACTTCCATAGCATGGAGTCAAGGTAATTAATTAAAGCAGTGTCAAACTGCATTAATTCTGCAGTGCTGATACAGCCTTCCTTGTCTGACAGCTTAACACAGGGACAGGCACACCCAGGAGATTCTGCAGCTGGACTGTAGTAATCCACTTCCATGCTTCTTTTTTGAATCCCCTTCCACTCCTCCTGCTTCCCACTTCAAATGCAGAATCAGCACTAGGAAACCCTCTCTGGAGCTGATAAATGACTTGGTGATTACTGTAATACAGCTGTGTTCACACTCAATAATGGTAAAATTCAGAGACGCAGCCTGTTTTAGTCTGTACACACCTCATTCCAAACCTCCTTCCACCCACCTAAGACCCACCCTGGTCTTAGGCAACATTTTTAATCCTGCCTTTGTCCCTCAATGAGCGCAGGTAAAACTGAACACTTTACCCTATCCACAGGCTTTCCATTTCTATGGTTATTCATACAGTCTGTTTAGATGGGTCCTTCCTGGTCACCAGTTCACTCCAGACATCTAAGGATGTCAACCAAGTCTACGAAAGCATATGCTACAACTTATTTTGCAAGGTTAGTCTCAAAGGTGCTACATCACCCCTCTGCATACTCTCAATAACGTTAGAAACTGAAATGAGCCAAAGGCCCCCAAGTGCCTAATAAAGGGGTACCTACCAGTGATCCGAGGGGTAACTAGCAAGCGTTCCATTTAAGACCAAGGTGGCTGATCCTCCACCATCCAGGTTGATAGCATTGACGACACCCTGTTTCTTCAGGAAGTCAGCCATTTCCCAGAGGTTCAGTCTGTGCAACGACCGAGTGAGAGAGTGACTCAAGAAAGAACAGCATTACATGATGCATTGATTGCAGCAGTGCAGATGAGGAATTAATGGGTGTCAGGATTTGCCTTTTTTATATTTCCTTGTCTTGAGGGCCAGCCTGAGGTTTCACCTGCACTGCAGAATTAACTGCCGTTATCTCCCATCCTATGAAATCTTGGGATTTGTAGTTTATTGCAGCACCAGAGCTCTCTGAAGGCTAAACATCTCAAAACTTCAAATCCCAGAATTCCATAGCATTGAGCCATGGCAGTTAAAGTGGTGTCAAATGCATTATTTTTGCAGTTTAGATTCAGCCAGGGTTTCACCCAACAGTCATGTAAACTGGCCTTTCTTCTCTTTCAGACAGGATGGCAAATCTTGAGATTATTCCATTTTAGAGATTTTATGGGAGACATTTGGCAGTTATGGGTACCTGCTGCACCAGAGCTTTCTGACAGAGAAGGCTAAATTGCATAAATTTGGCAGTCTAGATGCAGCCTGAGAGGTCCAAGGCTGGAAAGCTTCCTGACCTAGTAGCTGAGGTGCCTGTACATTGCACAGCAA